CCATATATTGGAGGACAGAATGTGACAAAATTAAATAAATAAATACACAATGAAATGTATCATTTAATTATTAAATACATCATTAAATCATTAAATACACAATACAATTATTAAATACACAATTAAATTACTTGTTTAGTGATTTATTTATTTATTTAATTTTGTCACAATATATTGGAGGACAGAATGTGACAAAATTAAATAAATAAATACATAATACAAAGATAATAATTTAATGTATCATTTAAATATAAAAAAAATCATTAAATACACAATTAAATTATTAAATTCACCATTAAATAATGAAATGTACATTTTAAGTTATTTATTTCATGATTTATTTATTTAATTTTGTCACCTTCTACCCTCCAGTGGCATCATGAAATTGTAAAAACTGTCAGTCTCACTCGTCAATCTCAGTGAGCGGGACTAACGCTGATCATGTGAAATCCATTGCTTCGGTCTGAAGTCAGTTCATACATGGCAGCTCCCTCCATGCTGGACCTTTATTTGCTCTCTCGTGAACTGGTTAGATATTTTTAGCAAAGCTAGGGACATAGAAGCTCCCCCAGAATTTGTGGTGAATAAATTGGAACAGGGGTGGATGGATACAGCAGATCAATAATATATATCTGTTTATTCTTGTTGTCTGTGTGACTGTTGCTGGCAACAATAGTCAAGTCATCTTTGTTTCTAAAGCACATTTAAAACTGTTATCAAAGTGCTTAACAATAACACCAAAAGAGAGTAAATTAATGGGAAAAAAATAACACACTAATGATAATACTGAAAAATTAAAAGCATTAAAAACATAGGAGCACAGAACAAAATATACTAATCACACTGTGTGAAATGCCAGAGAAAACAGATGTGTTTAGCAGACTTGAACACAGGAAGAGAAGTGGCCTGCCTGATGTTGGGGGGGGCAGGTTGTTCCAGAGTTTGGGGCCCATGACTGAAAATAGGGCTAGAGATTTATGTCAGCTGTTGACCAATATGTGTGATAAAGGGGAGTAGTGGTGCAGAGGCTAGAGAAGATGGGCCTGTGATCGCAAAGTCGCAGGTTCAACTCCCGTTACCGTCAACATGAAAATGTGGGTGGAAAAGGTGAAACACCCAAACCTGCCTACACCATCATTTGCTCCACTCTGGGCCCCTGAGCAAGGCCCTTAACCCCCACCATGTGCTCCCTAAACAGGTCTCTTTTGAAAATGAGTTATCGTGACTCAATGAGTGTACCTGTATAAATGAAGGGTAAATGAAATTTAAAAAGGAAGGGAAAACGTAGCAGAATTCATGATCAGGAACAGAGGAACTGAAAGGAACTCTCACAATGTTCATAATCAGCAGTAAGTATAACACCTGTTGGACAAGTGCACACATCTTTAAGATGCATACATAACATGAATCAACAGTCATCTCATTTTTATCATAGAATAGAGAGGATGTGGAGAGATGTCTATGAGCATGCATTACACCTGTTCTATCAGGTTTTCACTTCACTGGAAGATCAGAGAGCATTTGATCCAGATAATGAAGTCCATCTTTGTGCTCTACACAAAGGCTTTTGTTCACAAATCCAGCAAAGTCTGAACTCTTTCAGAGATGGTTGGAACTCCCATCGTCTTCGAACTGACAGGAATCTGTCACCATTATAATTCTGGACAAGATAAAGAGAGCAAGGCACCACGGAGGATCCTGCAGAGGTTAAAGAACCAGTCTTTCATTGATTTTATTTCTGGACATTGGAAGCATTTTATATTTAAATTTCGTTTAAATTTGCTGCTTCTCGTAAAAGTACGTCTTCATTACATTCATTGTATAATAAAAGGTTTCATCCACACGTGAACACAATTACCTCTTCCTAATCAGGCGTCAGGATCTGTGCACGACCCGCCCTAGTCCCGCCTACTGAGTTTGACGAGTGAGACTGACAGTTTTCACAATTTCATGATGCCACTGGAGGGTAGAAGGTGACAAAATTAAATAAATCAATAAATCATGAAATAAATAATTTAAAAGGTACATTTCATTATTTAATGGTGTATTTAATAATTGAATTGTGCATTTGATGATTTAATGATGTATTTAATAATTAATTGATGCATTAAATTTATTGTTATAAAACAACAAAGTCCATGCTCAATAATCCAGGTATACAATCCAACATTTTTCAGTCAGGTCATCTGGACAGTTTCTGTTTTTTGTGCCTTCGGTCCAGAAGGCTTCATCAGGAAACACAACAAAACTGATTCTTCCCCCAACAGCTGGATTATTGGATCAGGAATATTTCGCTCAAACATGTTTAAAGAAGAAATACAGCCTTTAGTTCAACTTTATTCTAATCCACAGATGTACAAATCACAAAACAAGAATTACACTTTAAATCAAAGATAAAATAAAATCTACAAGAAACAAAAACCACACATCTAAATTAAACAATAAAAGTAGACACAATAAGTGCAAATACATCAAATGATGAAGAAAAATATAGAATTTTAAATATAAATGTTTTTGTAGAATCTGGTTCATTAGATTTAATTCAGTTTATAAAGTGCCAAGTCATAACAGAAGTCGTCTCAGGGCACTGAACAGAAACATTCATATATAAAAATAATAATTTAACATTATTTATCTGAGGAGCAGACTGCTTTGAGTTTAGCTCATCGCAGAACTCTCACTCTTAATGGCGAACTAAAGTTCATTAACAGGGTTTTGGATTCTGGACACGCCTCCAGAACCGGTCCTGAAGTGCGGTACAAATCAGGCTGATCTGAGCAGAATAGGTGCTTAGGAGTGTTGCAAACGGAGCACAAGTGTTCTGAGTTAATTAGCTGATTAGAGTGTGGCACCAGATGTCTTCAATATTGAACCTTTTCACTATATTTTAATTTCCTGAGATACTGGATTTGGGGTTTTCATTAGTTGTCAGTTATAAACATCGACATTAAAAGAAATAAACCTTTGAAGTATATCAGTCTGTGTGTAATGAACGAATATAATAAACAAGTTTCACTTTTTGAACAGAATGACTGAAATAAACCAACTTTTTCACGATATTCTTATTTTATGACCAGCACCTATATTCAAGAATTCAAGGATTTTTTTGTTGTCATACCAGCGTACATTTGTACGTTTATGGTATGAAATTTGGACTCAGGTCCCAGATAAAGAAGCCTAACAGTTAACAAATAAATAAATACAAAATAGTATGTATATATATATATACCGTATATCCATCCAGCCATCCGTTCTCTTCCGCTTATCTGGGATCAGGTCACGGGGGTAGCAGCCTAAGTTGGGAGGCCCAGACCAGGTGCCAAGAGCACATATGGACACCCTTATGCTTGAACATGGTGTTTGTTATGGACAATTCATGACGAGCACAGAAATCCAATAACAGAACACCACTCGTGTTCAGATCAAGGGGGGCGTTCCTCCCAACCACACCCCTACAAGTCTCACTGTCATTGCCCATGTGAGCGTTGAAGTCCCCCAGCAGAACAAGGGAGTCCCCAGGAGGTGCACTCTCCAGTACCCCCTCCAAGGACTCCAAAAAGGGTGGATAATCTGAGCTGCTGTTTGGCGCATAAGCACAAACAGCAGTCAGAACCCATCCCCCAACACGTAGGCGGAGGGAGGCTACCCTCTCGTTCACCAGGGAGAACCCCAACGTACAGGCACCAAGATGGAGGGCAACAAGTATGCCCACTCCTGCTCGGCGCCTCTCACCAGGGCCGACCCCAGAGTGGAAGAGTGTCCAACCCCTCTCAAGGAAACTGGTTCCAGAGCCAGAGTCATGCGTTGAGGTGAGTCTGACTATTTCTAGCCGGAACCTCTCAACCTCACACACCAGCTCAGGCTCCTTCCCAAACAGAGAGGTGACATTTTACATCCCAATAGCCAGCTTCTGTAGCCGAGGATCAGACTGCCAGGGTCCCCGCCCTCGGCCACCACCCATCCCACATTGCACCCGACCCCTTTGGGCCCTCCCACAGTTGGTGAGCCCATGGGAAGGGGGACCCACTTCTCCTCTTCGGGCTGGGCCCGGCTGGGCTCCATGGGTGAAAGCCCGACCACCAGGCTTTCGCCAGTGTGCCCCACCTCCAGGCCCGGTTCCAGAGTGGGGTCCCGGTGACCCACATCCGGGCAAGGGAACATTTTTTCCATTGATTGTGGTCATTATAAGGGGTCGTAT